CTCCTCCTCTTCCTCTTCTTCTTCTTCTTCTTCCTCTTCTTCTTCTTCTTTTTCTTCCTCTCTAGGGCCATGAGATATCCTAATTCCTTTGTTTTTAATGCCCGGCAGGGATTGGGAAGAACGTCATCTGCGACCGAACAGCCACGCCTCTCGATGCCTTTCGGATGATGTCAGCAGCCCACTACTACCCCAAGCTCATGAGCATCATGGGGAACGTGCTCCGTTTCCTCCCGGCCTTTGTGAAGATGAAGCAGCTGATCCAGGAGGGGTATGTCGGGGAGCTGCTGGTGTGCGAGGTGCAGGTTCACAGCGGCAGCCTGCTGGGGAAGAAGTACAACTGGAGCTGCGACGACTTGATGGGCGGCGGGGGCCTGCACTCCGTCGGCACCTACATCATCGACCTCCTGACCTTCCTCACCAGTCAGAAGGCCGTGAAGGTCCACGGGCTGCTCAAGACTTTCGTGAAGCAGACGGACCACATCAAGGGGATACGGCAGATCACGAGCGACGACTTCTGCACTTTCCAGATGGTCCTGGAAGGGGGCGTGTGCTGCACGGTGACGCTCAACTTCAACATCCCCGGGGAATTCAAGCAAGACATTATCGTGGTAGGTTCCAGCGGGCGGCTGATCGCAACGGGGACCGACTTGTACGGACAGAGCAACAGCTCGTCGCAGAAGGAGCTCCTTCTGAAGGATTCCACACCGGTCAGCAACTCCTTGTTGCCCGAAAAGGCCTTCAGTGACATCCCGTCCCCATACCTCCGAGGGACCATAAAGATGGTGCAGGCTGTCCGGCAGGCGTTTGAGGACCAGGACGACCGGAGAACCTGGGACGGTCGGCCGCTCACGATGGCCGCCACGTTCGACGACTGCCTCTACGCCTTGTGTGTGGTGGACACCATTAAAAAATCAAACCAGCTGGGCGAATGGCAGAACATTGCGATTATGACCGAGGAGCCGGAGTTGAGCCCTGCGTACTTGATCAGTGAAGCTATGCGCAGAAGTCGGATGTCTCTGTACTGCTAGCTTCTAGTTGTGTCTCGGAGTGCAGGTGGGGTGGGGGGGAGGAAGGAGGTGAATCGATGCAGTTCTTTCCTCACAGAGGATACCTTAAGCATCATGCCTTGGACGAGGGAGACAATCTGAGGAACCAGTCCTTGATACGTAAGCCACATTGCCTAGTTGGTGCTGAGACAGTAGCTGATAGCACAGGGCGTTTTTCCATCCTGGCACCAGACCGAACGACGACTTGTTCGAGAGCCTGATAAAAGTGTTTACAAAATAGCATGATAGGAGGGTAAAACAGGACCAGTGTATAATCCGCCAGTGCATAGCTGTTGAATTGTGTTTACTGTAGGAGAAAAAAAAGGTTCAGGAAGGTCCACTTGCGGCTTTCCTTGCCAACCGGCAGGCTGTGAAGATGGAGAAGTGTCAGGAAGTCCCCTGTGGCAGACAAAACGGCTGGCTTCTGATACAAATACTCTCGTAGCAGCCCCGCTGGTAAGAGCATGCTGATGTATTACTGTTATGCTCAGTAACTCCATGCACCTGAAGTCAGTTCATAAGCCTAAGAGTACTTGGCATGAATGTGTCACCTACAAAAAAAATCAGCAGCTTGGTTTGTTGCATATAGCTAACATGGAAAGTCTTTTGTTGTTCAGGAGGTTTTTCCCTTTTTCTCAGCTCCCTGCAACATGAATCAGAAAGAAAGCAGTATGGTTAAAAAAATACATGCTGCTCTAAAACAATGGCATGTATCACACAGGCTGCACTCAGAGATCACGATAAACTGTGGTTTGTTCCAACCCAAGTTAGTTGTTAACATCCGAACACATTAAGCTGCCATACTTGTTAATATGGTACCTTTAAGTAGGAGGTCTCTTCTAGATTAACAGTACTGATCCAGATCATTGGCCTGTCAAGGTCAGTACTGTTTTATTCTAATTGGTAGCTCTTGAAAGTCTCAGGTGGAGGTCATGCACACCACCTAATACCTGATCCTTTCAACTAGAGATGCCAGGGATTGAACCTGGGACCTTCTGCATGCCAAACAGGTTCTCTTCCACCGAGCCAAGCAGGTGACTCAAGAAACGGGGGTTTGTTGGTAAGAACAAAAGTAGGATTATGTGCTTGTAGCTGGTTTGTTACCCACAATTGGTACTACCTGTAGTTCGTTGTGATGTCTGAATTCACATCACAGTTTGTTGAGTAATGTCATCCCTCATGGCTGCCAGGGCACAGAGGTGTCAGTATATAGGGAAAATACCCTCCTCACTGGGATTCAGGAAGAAAGAGACAAACTGGAGTTTACACATAAACCAGGATTTGCTATTTACATTTGGTAGACTAACCAGAGTTTGTTGAATAAAATACAGCTCGTACAAACCAAAGTTTATTGTGCTCTTGCACACGTTGGGATTTCCTACTACTAAGCACAGAAATCTATGGACAAATAAGGAATGTACAAAAATCGCCTGCAGTGGGCGCCACTTAGTCCTCTGATGTGCTCTGAGATTTGGCAAATTTCAGATGGATAGCCCAATTAGCCAACTGCAGCAAAACCAACAAAGAGTCCAGGAGCAGATTAAATGCTAGCAAGTTGATTGGGGCACAGGTTTGTATGAAACTCGTAGCCCGCTTCATCAGGCACATGAAATAATCTATCTGACAAAGCGAAGCTTCCACAAAAACATATGGTACAATAAAATTGTTTCTTTTTAAGGTGCCATGGGATTCTTTGTTGTTTCTGATATTGCTGTTTGTTCTTGGACCCCAAGTTCAACAAAGCGTAGCTTTCAGCCACATTCTAAAATGTCATTTTGTAGATGGGAGTTGTATAAAGCAAAGCATGATTTGGCCAAAGGAATCTGAGAAGTTATGAATGTACCCCCCCTTTTCCAGGGCTGACACCCATCTTTTCATGAGGTTGATCTCTTTGACTATCACATCAGGAGAGTGGAGCAACCATGTTGTGATACCACTGAAGCAGCCATCTCTGTTCTGTGAATAACAACTGAATGGACTCCGAGTTCAGCTGTTGAACCCAGAGAGAGATTCCCCCGCATCACACTAAAAGAAAGCTTGATAAAAGAAGGAAGTGCCAGTTCAAGGAACAAATTGCAAATGTAATATTACTGACTTTCCGATGCCAGAGGATTTAGATTTCTTTCTTTACTGCTAAAGTTGGCGTAGATCTAGTTTTCAAATGGCAGGCATTACAGCAGAAGTTGCTTGCTTGCTAGAATCATTTTTGTTGTTGTTGTTCAGTCGCACATTCGAGTCCGACTCTTCGCGACCCCATGGACCACATCACGCCAGGCCCTCCTGTCTTCCGTTGTCCTCCGGAGTTTGCTTAATTTCATGTTCATTGGATCGATGACACTGTCTAACCAACTCATCCTTTGCCGACCCCTTCTTCTTTGACCTTCAGTCATTCCCAGCATCAGGGTCTTCTCCAGTGAGTGCTCCCTTCTAGAATCATAGACTTCCTATTTCTGTGTAGCCACTGAAGACAGGGCACATCTGCCTACAGCCTAAGCTGTGGTGTAATCCTATGCACTACCATGGTTTTACCATTAGAAATAGCATTGCCCTGTTGCATCCTTAAGAATTCTCCGGTCTCTTTGAGAGCTCTGCAGCAGCAAATTGGGGAAACTGCCATTTAGGGCTTCGCTTGTCCCCACTGCCGATCCTGTTGCCTGTCCTCAGGCCTCAACTGGGGTAACATGTTAGGACGCATCTCCAGCACAGCAGGTGGAGGCTGTCAAAGGGACAGCAAGGTCTTTTGGGTTGACCACTTTCCACCTTAGTGCAATTTCCTGACAAATCTCTGTTAAGAGATCCCTGGCCTCCTCATAAAACTATAATTCACAGCATTCCAGGAAAAGAAAAACGCTGAGAATTGAGCTGGTTTAAATTTATAACGTTGATATGAAGAAGAGAAGAAGGAGAGGAGATTGGATTTATACCCCGCCCTTCACTACCTGAAGGAGCCGCACAGCGTCTTACAATCCCTTTCCTGTCCCTTCCCCGCAACAGACACCTTGTGAGGTGGGTGGGGCTGAGACAGCTCTCTCAAGAACTGCCCTTGAGAGAACAGCTCCGAGAGAACTTGTGACTGACCCAAGTTCACACCAGCAGCTGCATGCGAAGGAGGGGGGAACCAAACCCGCTTCTCCCAGATTAGAGTCCGTACTCTTAACCACTACACCAAACTGGCTCTCAAACTCACTTTAAACACTGTTGCCTTGTCTTGTGTCAGTCATCACTGATCTCTATAAGACGTTAACCAAATGTGGTCTGATGCCAAGGATGCCGAAGGAGATTCATTAAGAGCCCAGTCAGCCTGCCCGCAAACCATATAGGACACAAAGACTTCCACTGTTTTCAGGAGAAGCCAGAGTGAGAGCTGAGTAAACGAGGAGTTTGACGGGGAAATACGTGACATTGCTTAGGCCTCCTGTTGCCTCCTTGTCCAGCAATGTGCAGCTGTAGTCAATCCATGCATTCAGTGACGTACCAAACACCCCAAGTGGTAGTGAAGAATTCTGTAGCTGACTGTACCAGTTATCCGGGTGTTATCTCGGAAATTAAGAAAGAATCTGCTCTTTTCAGGGAGTTCCTTCCAGAGCATATGGCCCTCTAGTGGAGGACAGAAACTTGAAGGCATAATGCTGAATGCTGTGTTCCCTTGGTGGCTGCATTTCATTGGCAGCATCTTACCCACCCAGGTAGACCATACCTGTGCATAGATAACCTCGGGGGATCCTTTTAGTAGAACTCTTGCTGGAATATATGTTGTTAGTCTTTGAGGCTTCTGTTTTGTTTTGCTATGAATAACATTCCAACCCATCTGGAATTACAGCTTAGCAGATATATTTTCCTAAATCTGGAACATAACCATAACTTTGAGATTTGCACTGAAAAAAATTGATACTGGAGTCTTCCTACCAGAACTTTAATTGTGAGGTCAATTTACCCTTTACCCTTGCCACTGGACTGTTTTGGACCGGAGGGCCGGGGGGAGCTCTGCAACTTACCTGGCTGCTTCTTACTCTGACTGAGGGCAGCTGGGAGCAGGGGGTGGGGCTTGTTGCATGTGCCCGCCCCCTGGGCTCTTTATTGCCGGAGCGCCGCTCCTGTGCGCTCCTGCAGGAAATGACCCCTGCTTTTCGTAGGTACCAGACTTCGAAACCGCCTAGTTGCGTTGCATTCCATGAAGCTAGTCAGTAAAATGATTATCTCATTACTTCCTTGCATCCTTGATAACTGAAGGCCAAACTAGATGTTATGGCATCCCAACGCTATTTATAATGCTATGAGGGCCGAATCCTGTTCAGGCCTGCAGTGTGGTGGGACCTGGTGGTTTTGTTCCCCCCTCTGCACATTTTCAAGTGCCAGACCGCCGCCCCTCCCCCCATGGCCATAACATCTAGCCGTGCCTTTCGGGTCAATGCCTAGAGCAGCCAGGTGGGCTTTTCCCCCTCTTCGTCTTCTCTTGGCCTCCCGGAGCTTGCCCACATATCTGTGGGTGGCTGAATGGGGAGGATGTAACCAGGTAAGAATGGTGGGACTGAAAGGAACGGGAAACCTCCTATTCAGATGATCCTGTATTTTGCCTTCTTAAGGATCCATAGATTGCTGTGCACAGTAGTAGGATGAACCCAGCCGTGAGTGCAAGATTGCCACGTGCATCCTTATGAAACAGCGCTGGGGGAGGGGGTGGATCACAGAAGATCGAATAAATTTTAGAAGCGGGGGGAAGCAAGCTTGAGGATCAGAAACACCGCTTTGGGGTTTGAATTTGTTTCAGACCATTTCAGTGCAGATGATAAGACTCTCTCTGCTTTTATGTGTGAGCGTACCAGCAGCTCTCTCTTGAAAAAAAGCACTTGAAGAATGACTAATAAGTTTACTTTATGATTATAGAGATTTTGTTGTTGTTTTTTAAAAATCCGGTTACGGTCACCTGTTGTCATCGTGCTATTTCATTCCATTCCAGGCAGGTCTGGTCAGGTTTCCTCATGTTTTCCCACCCGTGCCACTGTGTGC